CTTTTTCAATGATTTTTGTCTTTTTTTAAGTAAAGTGGCACTTTCTTCAGTGCCATGTAACGCATGTGATCCGCCAAAATTGACTCTCCATTAAACATAATAAGGGCTGATTTGCAACGATTTCTCAAGTCTTAAGTGTTTAAAATCATAAGCATAAGAGCTGATTTCAAACTATATATTCAGTACAGGGACTGATTTGCTCATTTCGCCTAAAAAAATTTTAAACCCTACGTTTCTGCCGCACCAAATATTCTATTCCATATAAATCATTGCGAGATACGAAAGCAAAGCAATCTTATCTTAAACTCCTTTTAGTTAGTCAGTAGCGTCGCAGCAGCAACTCCTCCGTATCACTCTCCGGCCAGTCGCTGCAGAAGTTTCCTTGGAACAGCACATGGGTGCGATAACGGCCGCAATTGGGGACTTGGTTCTCACCTTCCTGTGGGTGTTCTGTTCGTCGACGTTTGGTTTACTAACGACGCTCACAGTGACAACCTTTGGCCTCCAGGGCATCGCCTGGGCTCCCGTTGCGATCACCACTGTGCTGATATTCGCTTTTGTGTTTGTGTTTAGCTTGATCGCCGAAGCCCTTGGAGGGGCGAGCTTCAATCCTACTGGAAATGCCTGCATCTTCGCTGCGGGGCTAGGCGGTGATTCGCTCATCTCCATGGCCCTCCGTTTCCCTGCTCAGGTATTTGCAATGACGGGTTGACGGATGTCTAATCTCTGTGCTTTAGTATGGGTCTATGGTTGTTTAGATGAAGTCATTTTGGTTGATCTTGAATTTTGGATCAACCTGAACATGCATTTAGTCCATCTTATGAATCTGTATTAGTTCTGTTGTGGTTGCAGTTTTTGCATTAACACTGCTGTTATGTTAGTCATTAATTCTTATTCATTTCTTGTATTATGTGTGCTTGGAATTGTTTCTGGTTTTCTTTTGCTTTATGGTGTGTCTTTCAACCCATGTTCATTGGCTAAGAAGTTCTTTTTGTTGGCAAAAGTTGCTTCTGAATCTGAATCTGCTTTTTATTTCTTCTCCCAGGGCAGATCCTTATTCTCTTGTTCTCTTTTCTTTTTTACCTTTTTTAAATCCCTTTTCGTTTAAAGTCTTTGATTCCTCTAGATAAAAAAGGGAGAATCCATTTGTTCATTTTTAGTCTCACAAAACCATAAATACTAGATTGTTTCCTTTTACTTTTTCTGAATGAATCTGTCCCGATAAAGAGAAATTTGAAGATGAAAAAAGTATATTTGGAATGCCCATTTTACTATAAAAGAAATAAGCTGTGATTAATCTTCTAAATTTTCTAATGTAATGAGTAATGATCACTTTCCAACGGGCAAACTTGTTCAAATTTTTTCTGGTTTTTTTTTCCTGTTAGCTTTGTATTGATTTATGGGTATCCATCTGTTAAAAAACAACGTTAAATAATAATTATGCTCATTTGGTACAGAACTGAAAATAGAATGTCTTAATAACAGGCTGCAGGTGCTGTGGGTGGTGTCCTGGCAATTATGGAGGTGATGCCAGTGCAGTACAAAAACATGATTGGGGGTCCATCTTTAAAAGTGGATGTTCACACTGGAGCCATTGCTGAGGGGCTATTAACTTTTCTAATTTCCTTTGCTGTCCTTTTAATTATTTTTAAGGGTCCTCGAAATGGAATATTGCAGGCATGGTTGCTCGCTCTTGTAACAGTAGCCTTGGTTATTTCTGGTACTCACTATACAGGACCTTCCATGAATCCTGCCAATGTAAGTTGCCAATGCTCTATATCTTCCAGTTTTATACTTTTTGTTTGTACATTGACAGTATGCCATCTTCTATCTCAACCTGTTTTTCTATTCAAATTTTATTTAGTTATGATGTTTTGCTTTGAGAAATTTTGAATGCATTTTTTGTAACCATGTTTCTTACATGTATTGGCAACTGCCTGCCACATGATAGTGTTTATATACCTTTTTCAAGCACATGGATTGATGCCTCTTTTTAACAACTTGCAACTAGCTTTTTATCTGGTTAATTTGTTGCTGCTTCATTTGTTTTGAATATGATTGTATTCTGCCATTACCTTTTTTAATTGGTTTTATCATATGCCTTAATTAACCACACTTCTTTTTCTTTCCCTCTTCTAGCTATTTTAATCAGCAAAGAAGTTAGTAATAGGAATTATGTTATATCATGCATGTTTCCTCTGTCTATTTCATTAGTAATAAGTTTTTTTTCTTGGTTGTTTTTTAATTAACTGATATCATCTAAAATATATCCTTCTTTTACCTTCTCACAAATTGTTCTAGTTTGGAAACATGTTCCAGCAAGAAAATTTTATTGGGAATTATATTTAAGGGAATAATTGCTGGAGAGATGATTGCTTTAATTTGGCATTGAAAATAAAGCATAAACCAAAGATGGGAGGCTTATCCATGGAGCAGAAGCTTGCTCTTGCTATGATATTTTTGAACATGAAATAAAATGTATTACAGAAATTAGAAAATGTACTTGAATGTCAAAAATACAATTTCTCTGACGCAGAATTAAATACCATGAGACTTCCTTCATGTTTCTAGTTAATAACTTGGCCTGATCACAAAATTTTACCAGTGCTAGCGTAATTTAGTCAATTATAATTAAAATCTTCAAATTTAATTTGTGCTTGAAGAAGCTAGGAGAAAAGAATTAGAAGAACTTTAGCCTTTAGGGTACCTTTAACAATTGTCAGAAGGATATTATATATGTTCTCCATGTTAAAGTAGGGTGGATTTGCCCCTATATTTTTTTCTGAGTTGTTTTTCTTTGGTACATTGGATGGTGGGCCATACAACAAGTGATCACCCTCCCCTTCCCAAACGCCTGCCCACCCATCCCAAGATATCTTTGTGTTGTTTAAAATGATTATTCTCTCCACTGATTGAAGAGTTTGAGTAGAGGCCAACATAACCCACTGAATTTTCAATTGAACTATAGCTTCCCATAAGTCCATAACTCTAATAATCCATACCTTACACTTGTGCTGTCTTCTATGTCAGTGCAATATCATGCCTATTCTCTGCTTTGTAGTTACATTGCTGCTGTTTGTTCAATCATTGAATCATTTTCTATTTCAAGTTGTTTTGTACATTTACTTTTAATTTTGTTGGTGGTAGTTGTATGGTGCTTCAACTGTTCCATTTAAGCCTAGAGTGGATGAAATTGGCCTTTTGTAAATAGAATATACAAGGTTTGGGTGAAGCTACTCATTTAACTAATCTGACATACTGATAGTACTGTTATGAGTGGGCTTAATAAAGATCACATGATAGCTATTGTAAAAACCTAAAAGCTTTTTCCCAGACAAATACATTACAGTGCTTCATTTGAGTGTATAGTTTTTGGCTCTGTTCAACCTTAATAGGCCAGTATCTCCTCAATAACGATGGGGTTCCTTTCAATTCTTCCTCCTTCCTCCTCCCTAAGGATTGTGGTAAATTTGAGTGAGTCTATTTTACATGGATGATTGGCTTTAAGGGTTTAGCAATAGCTATATTGGTGTCCTTTTTAAGGATAGGGATAAATGTTGGTCCATCACCAAGCTCTCTAGCAAGGTATAACTGTGTCACCAGTTTGTATGGATGATTAGTACAGAGTTTATACATTAGTGAATTTTTCTGGATGTTCATGGAACTGCATATCATATGAATTCTGTTGGTGTGTGGTTTATTGATCTATCAAATGGATCCTTACCTGTTCAGATGGAATGACAATAATGGAAACCATGCTGATGTGTTTTGACTTATCACCTATTGTGTTTCGACTTATCACCTATTGTGTTTCAGGCATATGGCTGGGCATATTTAAATAAATGGCACAACACTCCGGAGCACTTCTATGTTTATTGGATTTCCCCATTTATAGGCGCAATATTGGCTGCCTGGGTATTCCGAATTTTCTTTCCCCCACCTGCACCAAAGCAGAAGAAAGCCTAATGTGAACATAATCAGTTTATTTGTCCATCCATAACAGTAGATAAAACATGCGTAATAAGCCTTTCCTCTTTCACTTTTGTTCCTTTTGAACATTTTAACTTGATATTTAAATTTATTTTATATGTTTCTGGATATTTAGAGGGATAGCATGTATAAAAGCAAGCTTATGCATTGCTTTTGCATTCTTTCTGTAATGTTTAATCTGTCTCATTGATGTTTGATTAATAATCTCATCTTGTCTCGTTACTTTCCCTGGAAGCGGCAAGACATGTCCATCATAATATGCATACAGATAGCAGAAACAATATGCTTCCCTAAAAATCTTCTTTCTTTTTTGCTCACTTTCTGCATGGGTCTACATAAATCAGTTAGTGCAATTTACAGTTGTCAATTGGCAACGCTATGAGGACAATATCAAGTCATATAGTCTTATAAATTTAGAGATAAGTGTACTGAGGTATGATGTAATTTAACTCCAAATTAAATGAGACTTAATGTGGTTTTTAGGTATAAAAAGATTTAATACAATATATATATATATATATAACAAAGCATTAAATGAAATGGATGCATATAATATAACATATGAAGACAAAATAAAAATTCTACCAAAAAAAAAAAAAAGACAAAATAAAAAAACTTAATCACCAAATAAAATGTTATATTGTATATAATTAAGTTAAATGTTGATTCTGATTCCTCAACTTTAAGGTTTTGTACAATTTTTATTCTTTAATTTTTTTTATGCATTTTTTTTATTCTCAATTATAAAAAATGTACTTTTAGTTCTTTGGTCAATTAGTCTATTAAATTAGTCTATTAAATTTGTTTAAATAGAGTTCAAAAAATTAAGATGTCTTGGCGCTCAGAACATTCATTACAGTCATTCATTGAGTGGGTTTTAAGAATATGGTCCATTCAATAGATTGTTGTGATGGACGTCTTGAGTGTCAGGACATCCTAATTTTCATATTTTTGTTGTTTAAATATGTACATTTTTAGTTCCTTAACTTATAATATATGCTTGTTTTTCGTCCTTTGACGTTGAAGGATTAAAAAGATGCATATTTAGATAGATTTAATGGGTTAAAGAAATACATTTTTTATAGTCAATGGATTAAAAAAGTATATAAAAACTTAAAGAATGAAAATTAAGCAAAACTTTAAAGTTGAGGGATCAAAATTGGTATTTAACCATATAATTATTGTGCCTAAAATATTGTAAGTCTAGCACTTACCTTGTCTTATATGCATCAAATCCTTCTTTTGAAAAAAAAAAAAATCACTAATATACATCAAATCTAATATTGGCATTTAATTACAAAGTCAACCACGATAACAAACATTTGATTGTAATTTCTCTGAGTCCGACCAATTTTATCTGTTGGTAAGGAAACTAAAATGAGTTTGGAAACAAGATTGTGAAATCGACTATGGAGACAAGACTTGGTGAATAGATTCGTTGGCTAATCACTAGAGCCAGTGAAACCTCAAAATGTATAGTATGGTCGTAGAAGACAAGACATCATTCTGAGCAACTTGTAAGACATCATAATATAAGTAATTTGTGTAAAACTTTAAAGGTGAGGTTATGATTGGGCAACACCCATATTCTCAAGAAGGATTGTACCCAGAGAAGTTCGATCATGTTGTCAGCAAGAGCTATACTTAGTAATGGAATAAAATGCCAATATTTGCTTTTCACTGCACCAAGAAAGGAACATTAGCCAGTAGGTTCTCTTGCCATATCAACATCATAGGTAGCCGGTAGTAGATATGTGATCAATGGGTACTCCTGGCCTATCAACTTCAGGGTAAGCGTGGAGCCTTAATGAAGACAGTTAAAAAATAAAATCCATGAAAGAAAATGCCTCTGACATAGTGAATAATGTGTAGTATAGCTTCAAAGTGAGCTGAGTGAGAATTGGACAACAAGATGGGCTCCATAGGCAACGTCAGGATGAGTCACAATGAGATAAACCAACTCTTAAGCACGTCGATGAAGGGTAGGATTAGGAAAAATGTTGTCAATTTCGGCCATTATGACTGGTATAACGAAATAGCGTGGTGAGAAATGAATGGGACCATAACCAGTATGGCTGTCGCTATTGTCTTCTGTGACTTTTGAACTCTAGATAACTGGTCGGTTGTTGTGACTTTATTTGCTTGAGATTATCATTTGGTTAACTTTTGTTAATTTTTATAAACTATTAGATATTTTATGCTTTTTTTCTACTATAATTATTTGTTATTTTATTTTTAGATACCGATACATACATTTTTCAAAAGTTATATAATTCATTACACACTGATTCTTTTTATTAGTATGTCGATAAAATTAACGGAAATCATTAGTTTTAATAACAAAAATAATAAAAACTGTTAATTTTAATGGTACAAGTAACCAAAATCATCAATTTTAACGATATATTAATGGAAATTGTCAGTATATAATTTTAAAGAGTGTTTGTATCATTTCCCTTTATTTTTATAACTCTAGTTATCAAGAGTTATCTTTCCTTGGCGTGGGGGCTTGGAGCAATGGAACATGGCATTGGAGATGCAGCGGAGACGTCCTTTACATGCATGGGAGGAAGAGTTAGCTGATGAGTTAAACCAGATAATTGGATCAGTGAACTTTCTTCAAGGGTGCTCAGGAAGTTGGGAGTGGAGACACAATGGGGAGAAGCTTTATTCAGTAAAGTCAGCATAGTCTTTCCCAATACAGAAGCATGGCATTTCAAATGGGGCATTTTTTGAAAGAATCTAGAGTTCCCTGGTTCCAAGTAAGGTTAGTGCTTTGGCTTGGCACCTTGTACAAGATAAAATTTCAACCAGAAATAATTTATTTGAAAGGGGCATATTGGGAAGTATCTAAGCTCATCAAAGTGCGGTTTTTGTGGTCAAATCCTCGAACAGGCAGAATTACACTTTATGCTGCATGGTAAACTTGCATATAATGTGTGGGTTAAATGTTATAGATGGTGGGAAATTAGTTTTGTTATGCCTGGATCTGTTTGGGATGCTTTTGAGCAACACAGGTGCCTGGGGAGTGATAAAAGAGTAAGGAAAGGATGGGATGTTCTGTGGTTAGCTGTAGTTTGGTCCTTGTGGTTTGTGTCAAAGGAAGGAGTGCCCGTTGTATTCCATAAATGTAGTAAATTGCCTTTTGCTGTAAAAAAAAAATTAATCTTTCCTAAGAAATATTATTGAAATCAATGGAAATATGTGGAGTGACACCCAAAAGTTTAATGGTCTATTTGAATAAAAATTAGTAAAGGAAAGGGAAGGAAGAGAAGAGAAAGAAAAGGGAGGAGAAGTGAAGGGAAGCGAAGAGTCAATATTAATTTTATTTGGATAAACAAAAATTGAGGAAAAAAACGAATAATTTTTATTTAATTAAATAGTTTCAAATAAAATAAAATATTTAAAGTTTACAAATAAAAAATAATTAAAATAAATATTTTTATATATTTATTTTTAAAAAAAATTAAATATGTAAATCAAATCTTGTGCAACTCCTCTGCTTTAGCAAGAAAGAAAACAAATAACTGGAGGGACTCCACCACCCTTTCATTTCTTTTCCTCTCCATTAATTAGGGATAACAATTTTCTTCGTGACTCATGAAACTCTGTGAAGATCTTTATTGTAGGAGTGGAGATTCTCAAAATATTCATTTTTGTGGGATGAGGATAGAGGAAATTTTTTTTTT